CAGTAATTTTGGAGATGAGGCTACTTAAAAAGCAGGCATGGTTCCTGTTGGGAAAGTATGCATTGGCAATAGTAATCAGGTGGTCATCTATCTTCCCTTTCAAAATAAAAAAATGGCCCTTTGTATCTCTGTATTCCTCCTCGACCACCAATGCAATCGAGCGGTGCGCCAAAATCGATACCCCGCGAGACTTGTTAGAGCGAGAGGTCCAATGGTATAGATGGGGCCCCCAGGGCCAGCACCTTCCCATGTTTGAAGTGTGTATCCTGCAATAGCGAAACAGAGGCCCGGGCAGACCTAAGATCTCCTAGAAACCCGGCCTGCTTCTCTGGGGAATACAAACACCTTCACATTGAAGGAGAGGATAACCAAGTCGCCCGGTGTAGCCATGGCACAGAGGTAAGTAATAGATTATATCCGTGCTATAGTGAGCAGTGTCTTAAGCCCCTACGGCAGGTGTAGAGTGCCCAGCGGGAAAAGTGCAGGTGCGACTAGAGTGAGAAAGGTTTAGAGGGACATGAGCGAGAGAGACACCAGTATAGAGTTAGGCAAAATCAGAAAAACGGGGAGGGGAATATATAAAGTACACAATTCGGAAACCCCAACCAGGACCAAAGGGCAACTGGAAAAACAAAACGTCAATCCCAGGACCCCACCTGGTTACAACGCACGGGGGTACACTAGAAGGCGAAGCCGTTGCTTCCAGCAAAAAATGCCCGAAGCAGGTCTCCCCACAGTGGGTCACTTAGTCAAAGTATAAATATAACTAACAAGAACCACAAGTCCAGCTGTCAAGCGGGACCCATCACTGAAAAGCTAATATTGGAACAAGAGACCCGACACGTAGAAACAGTGGATTCCGGGTCTATTGGAAGGCATCCCCCCTGGCCTCGGGTCCCAATATGTAGCGCAATGTGCTCCTCATTTCTGCTGGGACCCTGGACTGTGGGGCATAGGGGGAGCCCTCTATCCCTCTGAATACCGTTTTAACTCAGTGCAAGCATAGAATCAGCCCAAAACACCTCGGCGGCTATTCCCGTCTAAGGGTCCAAGCCGCAGAGGGTTTACATCCCTAGCTATCCACTTAACTGGTTGGCCTACTATCATATGTATTCTGACATTTATCCCAAAAACCAAGGTGCATTTACTTCATAGCGTACCAGAGCAGAACCTTAACGTGTAAAATGCTCAATTATTACATGTCTCCCCTCCATTCTGAGTGCCCTGCCGTTCCCCACCTAGTGATGGGGCCCTAGTCGCCGTTCCGGGCTAGTAACAGAGGGGAGAGAGCTTCACCATCCCATGGCTCATCAAACATCTCACAGATATAAACCCTCTCATATGGTCATGGAGATTGCAGGTCAACCCCTAATACATCAGTATTAAACTCAACCTAAATATGTCCTGTCTATGTCTCTGGAAGATCTTGGGCCAATTCCTTCTGAAGACCCGGAAGCGTCCGGCCAGAGAAAAGGAAATTGAAGTAAAGGGAAATGAAATATAATGCATAAGCAAAGGTGTCCCAGTGATGTGTTCAAAAACCTCCAAATCGACAGTGAAAAATAGAAGCAAAAGTGAACTATATCGGACAGGGTAGAACTGCCTATGGATCTAGGCCCACAGACCAACCAGCTAACCTCTTAAGCTTCCGCTCTTGCTTCTAATGCGTGCGGGAATCATTGCTGCTGGTGTCATCTGCTTGGGGATAGTGAATCTCCACATTAGGAGCGGCCCACTGTTGTCACTGCCTTCTAGATCGCGGGCCTTCCGACCGGGTAGAGCCCCTTCGCATTCTGGACAGCGCCGGCCCATGCTCCGATCATTGAAGTCCAAGGAACATCTGGGTACTGTGCTTATTGGCATACCTGTCGGGGATCGATATCTCCGGGAGATCTAGGCGTCTGCAGAAGTCGTGGCCGTCTGTCCACTATGGGTAGCTACCAGGCAGAACGGGAAACGCCAGCAGTACATGATGCCTAGGTCGTGGAGACGAGCCAGGAGAGGGTACTGAGCCTGTTCCAACAGGTCCTGGAACAGCTTCACTGCACAGCCCTCGATGGACACCGTATCTCTGGCCCTTGCCCTTTGGAGAATTTCCTTCTTCAGAGAAAAACTTTGCAAGCAACATTACATCCCATGGCAGGTCGTCCGCAGTCGCCCTAGGCCTCAGGGCCCTGTGCACTATTACCAGTTCGATCAGGGATTCCGCTGGGCGTTCCAGCAGGTCATTAAAGATGTGTCTCAATGTGTCAGGAATGGCAGCCGGCATCACTGTTTCAGGAATGCCTCTAATTCTGATGTTGGACCTTCGTCCCCGGTTGTCGAGATCCTCCCAGATGTCCCCTCATCTCTATGAGATTATGGACCATGATGTCGCTTTGTGTGTGAAGATGGGCAAGTTCAGCATGCCATTGGCGGCCAGCATTTTCCACTGCCATCAGACGGTGTCCGACATCTTGGATGTCCCTACGGAGCTCCGAGACCATTTCATACAGGGCCGCCTTGATGTCCAAGGCCACCGAGTTGAGCTCTTCCTGGTCGGTAGGCTATGCAGGTAAGGGGGCATCTGGGAGCCGGGTACCTCCTACATCCACTGCGTGCCGTAGGAGTCCCACCTTCTCCGGTCTGGCCTGGGCCAGCGCCATGTTGGAGAAGGCCTGCTCCGCTGCATCCATTCTCCTGAGCTCGAAAAAGTTCAGGAGCATTTTTGTTAATAGGGTACTTGAATGCATTTTTAAGATTTAACTCCTGAGTTTGGTGTCACTTTAATTATAATTAGGGATGTGTTATGGAAATCTCATGATTTTTCTTTTTTTTTTCTACAGATAAGTAATGGAACATCATCAGTGATTGTACCCAGAAAGCGCACTTCTGATGGCAATTATGAGAAAGAAAAGGACTTGTGTATAACATTTTTTGATCAGTGGTCTGAATCAGATCAAGTTGAGTTTGTTGAGCACCTTATATCTCGGATGTGTCACTACCAGCATGGTCATATTAATTCATATTTGAAGCCCATGCTGCAGCGGGATTTCATTACAGCGCTACCAGGTAGGTGAACTTATGACTACAGAAAATTGCCAACCTAAGTTTTTTCTTTTTATATACTCCACATTGATTTGCTAAAGGTGTGGAGCATGTTAACTTTGCTAAGTGAATTTTCTCTCACCTTTTGTGATTAAGGGAGAACTAAAGTGTGAAGTTACTTTGCAAAATATACCCATCCATTAGGGTTTGCTCCGAACCTGGAAGAACGCCCTCCCGAACACAAAAGAAAGCTGCTTCTGTGCCGCCCAATCAGCTTGATGTAAACAAAGGGGCCAAATGCAGTGGCATCATTGACCTTGTATGGACTTCTAGACCACTTCCTGTAGCCTCTTCTTTAAAAAGTTATTTATGATATAGCCTCCATAAGCTATAAATTCAGTATTTAAACTGCAAAGAACTGAAGTACAGATTGTAATCCAAAGGTTTCCTGAACTGGGGAACACGAGAGCATTTGAACAGCACTGGTACCTATTGGTTGCTATTAGATACTACAGATTTGGTTAAGCACAAATATCTGTGCTGGATGAGAAATGGTCCTTGCAAATACCACACACTAAAATTCACTTTGGTCTAGAATGTACAGTAGACTCCCAGTTATCCGGCACCCACGGGGATCGTTGGGTGCCGGGCAACTGTAGTTTCTGGTTGCATGAGACTTAATATTAACTCAAGCAACCAAACCCCACCCTTCCGCAGCCCTATTCACCTGCTGGCTAGATTCTGCAGCCAACAGACGAATGTAAGCAGCCGAGAGCAACATTAGTGCCTGCGTTCCGGTCCACTGCGATCTGCAAAAATAGTGTATGCAGCATTTTTGCAGATCGCACCGGACCGAAACGCAGGCACAAATGTGTCATGCATTCAGGTGCCAGCGATCGCACTGCGGGCAGGGGGGCGCGTGGCTGTGGTGACATTGCCTTCAATGCACCGCCACGCCACCTCCCGCCCCTGAATGCAGGGACCTGGCCGGTTTGCGTTTCAGAGGCCGAACGCACTGGAACGCTTTCTTTGTGGTGTGAACTGGCCTTTACAGCATACCTCACTGCATGTCTTTATATCATTGGAGTACATGTGTGTCGGTTGCATTTTTTTTGTTACAATAATTTTTTTGTTTTGCTTTATAGAACAGGGCTTGGAACATATTGCAGAAAATATTCTCTCCTACTTAGATGCACAGTCGCTGTGTGCTGCAGAACTTGTGTGTAAAGAATGGCAGAGGGTGATTTCAGAAGGAATGTTATGGAAAAAACTGATAGAAAGAATGGTGCGTACAGATCCACTTTGGAAGGGCCTTTCAGAAAGGAGAGGATGGTAAGTGGTTATCTATGCTGTTTGTTTTTCCTATTATCCTTTTATACCGTTTCAGTCATAGATGCAAATATTATTCCAACATATGGTCAACATTTTATACCTAATATGAAGTGGATCTCTGAGGGCATTATTGCTGAACACACTTATACAGACGTAGACAAATTTGTTGGTACCCTTCCACTAAAAAGAACAACCCACAAATTTATCTGCGTTATTGTTCCATGTTTTCAAAAAATAAAATTTAATGCTTTTTATATTTCAAATAAAACAAAAATGGCATGGACAAAAATGATGAGTTTCTTGACCTATTATATTGTTGCACAACATTGAGGCTAGGTTCAGACCTGAGTGATAACCCGGGAACGTGCGATTGTGTGCTAGTGCATTTGCCGTGCGGCATTTGCGGTGTGGCCCTATTGATTTCTATGGGGTTGCATCCGCGCTGCAAACGCTAAAAAAAAAAAGGTACAAGTACTTACGACACACTGCTTTTTTAGTTGCGATCGTGTTCAATTGCATGGGCGGAATCCCATCCTTACATCATGTGTCACAATTGGCAACAGCGTATGCCACATGTATTCCTTCAGTTGGCCATTGGACAGCCTGGATCAGATTTATACAAGGGTTTGGTTTTACACACATTAACTTTGGAGCATGTGTTGATCAGGCTGCCAATGTTCGCTATAACACGGCCATATCTTAACCCTTGCAAATGTGCTGGTTATATGTAGTAGGTACAAGCAGGTTATGCTTTTAATATGTTGAACATATGTTGAAGTTCTATATTTTGGCTGCTTTTGTTAATATATATACTAACAATTTGAGGCTGTGTTGGATATTGATTGCATTTATAGAGTTCCATCCTTGCAGCTATTCTTTGATTATTCAAATGTCTTGTGCATCAATTTAGGAGAAGCTAAAATGTGTGGTTCTTTATTTTTTTAATTTTTTTGTGCCTATCCTAATTTATCTGTAATTGTTTTTTTCCCTCGCAGGGATCAGTATTTATTTAAGAACAGACCGACTGATGGCCCGCCAAATTCATTTTATCGCTCCTTATATCCCAAAATAATTGAAGACATTGAGGTATTTCTATTTTTTTGTTTTATGTCTGTGTCTTTGTTCTGATAACTAATGGGAGAAAATGTTATAAAGCAATGCCGATAGCTCTTCCACAGCAATTTTGTTTTTTTTCTCTCTTGTGTTCAATGGATTCTCCAACAATGTCAGAATGCATAAAGTAACAAGGCAATTAAACAAGCTACTTCAGCTTAGACTGTTTTAAATAGATTTTTCCTGGCCATATCCATGGCAGCGCTGATACTCATGAAAGAGGGCTTGTTCACACGATGTCCGGATTCTGTCCAGACCAGAGCAGTTCGCTCCTGCACTAAAACGCATCACAATGTATCCCTATGTGTTTTATGGGCCCCAGATCACACGAGCGCAGTGCTTTCCATTCTGGACAAAGAAAGATACTGCAGGTCACATTTTCTCTGGTCCGGAAAGCGCACAAACGCCTCAAGACGCAACAAAAATGTGCCAGAAACGCACCGCACTGCAGCTAACTGGGAAAAAATAAATAAAATGGAATGCGGTAAAAACGCATCAAATACACGTCAAAAAACGTGCTGCCCACATTGCTCAGCATCTGCAGATCTGCTCCAGATCTGGACGAGAAAATGTGAACACGCCCTAAGGGCAAGTTCACACCATATGCAGTTGTGATGCAGTCCGTTTATTTTGACTGCTGCAGTCAAAATACATCACAATGCTTTCCTATGGGCTTTCTTGTGCCTAATTCACACCATTGCAGTCAGTTCAACTGCAGTCAGGAAAGTACTGCTTGTCCTACAATCCCAACAGATCGCAATGCAACTGCGCAGACGCACGCAGTTGTG